ATGTAGTGGAGCACCTGACTGTAAACATATAGCTCTAGCAACATATGCCTGATGTAGTGGAGCACCTGACTGTAAACATATAGCTCTAGCAACATACGCCTGATGTTTTGGAGCACCTGACTGTAAACATATAGCTCTAGCAACATACGCCTGATGTTTTGGAGCACCTGACTGTAAACATATAGCTCTAGCAACATATGCCTGATGTAGTGGCACACCTGACTGTAAACATATAGCTCTAGCAACATATGCCTGATGTAGTGGAGCACCTGAGTGTAAACATATAGCTCTAGCAACATATGCCTGATGTAGTGGAGCACCTGACTGTAAACATATAGCTCTAGCAACATATGCCTGATGTAGTGGAGCACCTGACTGTAAACATATAGCTCTAGCAACATATGCCTGATGTAGTGGAGCACCTGACTGTAAACATATAGCTCTAGCAACAAATGCCTGATGTAGTGGAGCACCTGACTGTAAACATATAGCTCTAGCAACATATGCCTGATGTTTTGGAGCACCTGACTGTAAACATATAGCTCTAGCAACACATGCCTGATGTAGTGGCGCACCTGACTGTAAACATATAGCTCTAGCAACATACACCTGATGTAGTGGCACACCTGACTGTAAACATATAGCTCTAGCAACATATGCCTGATGTAGTGGAGCACCTGACTGTAAACATATAGCTCTAGCAACATATGCCTGATGTAGTGGAGCACCTGACTGTAAACATATAGCTCTAGCAACATATGCCTGATGTTTTGGAGCACCTGACTGTAAACATATAGCTCTAGCAACATATGCCTGATGTAGTGGAGCACCTGACTGTAAACATATAGCTCTAGCAACATATGCCTGATGTAGTGGAGCACCTGACTGTAAACATATAGCTCTAGCAACATATGCCTGATGTTTTGGAGCACCTGACTGTAAACATATAGCTCTAGCAACATATGCCTGATGTAGTGGCGCACCTGACTGTAAACATATAGCTCTAGCAACATATGTCTAATGTAGTGGCGCACCTGACTGTAAACATATAGCTCTAGCAACATATGCCTGATGTAGTGGCGCACCTGACTGTAAACATATAGCTCTAGCAACATATGCCTGATGTAGTGGAGCACCTGACTGTAAACATATAGCTCTAGCAACATATGCCTGATGTAGTGGCGCACCTGACTGTAAACATATAGCTCTAGCAACATATGCCTGATGTAGTAGCGCACCTGACTGTAAACATATAGCTCTAGCAACATATGCCTGATGTAGTGGAGCACCTGACTGTAAACATATAGCTCTAGCAACATATGCCTGATGTAGTGGTGCATCTGACTGTAAACATATAGCTCTAGCAACATATGCCTGATGTAGTGGCACACCTGACTGTAAACATACAGCTCTAGCAACATATGCCTGATGTAGTGGCACACCTGACTGTAAACATACAGCTCTAGCAACATATGCCTGATGTAGTGGTGCCCTGTTGTAAACATACAGCTCTAGCAACATATGCCTGATGTAGTGGCACACCTGACTGTAAACATATAGCTCTAGCAACATATGCCTGATGTAGTGGTGCATCTGACTGTAAACATATAGCTCTACCAACATATGCCTGATGTTTTGGAGCACCTGACTGTAAACATATAGCTCTAGCAACATATGCCTGATGTAGTGGAGCACTTGACTGTAAACATATAGCTCTAGCAACATATGCCTGATGTAGTGGAGCACTTGACTGTAAACATATAGCTCTAGCAACATACACCTGATGTAGTGGTGCCCTGTTGTAAACATACAGCTCTAGCAACATATGCCTGATGTAGCGGCGCACCTGACTGTAAACATATAGCTCTAGCAACATACACCTGATGTAGCAATGTCATAAAAAAGGTCCTTAATGGTAATTTATGTGTACATACACACTACAGTTTCTAAAAAATTTGAAACATATAATGAAAGAAACTAAATATATGACATCCTTAGTTTTGGATCTTTGCCTTCTGAACGGATCGAAGAGCTTTTTTTGAAAAGAAATGGGGAATTAACTCTTGTGTGGTTGTGTGCTGCCATGCTGAGTCAGGTCTGGAGACATACACATCATACTGGCCAAACTGTGAATGAAAACCATTTAAAGTAAAGCAAACATTTTAAAGTAAAAAATCCGGAGTCATGCATCTTTCCCGCGGCAACTTATGGATGTGAGTTATGGACTTTTACTCAATAATTAAAGAAAAACTTAGGAGTCTTTGAACTGAAATACTGCATACAAATTCTTAGAATACTGTGGACCAAGAAGATGAAAAACACTGACATGATCTGAACATCGGGGGAGAATTGGCTCATAAACAGCAGCCTGTCTGGAAAGCTGAGATATTTTGGCCATGTTAAATGTCATAGTGGCCTGGAGGAAATGGTAATGGAGGGTAGTTTCCAGAAAGTGAGGCAGAGGCAGACCTCTGTAAATGTGGAAATAAGACAATAAAGATGAACTGAATATGAAAGCACACAGGGTTGGAGAAAAAAAGACTTCCAGGCATACTGTGATGTTCTATAAAAGACCTACTGACTGAAGATAAAAGGAAACCACTTTTAATCACTGTCTTCTTCTTCTCAGTGTCCACTGACTGTAGACTGCAGCGGAAAGTTTTCAGATTGTTTGTCCATTTCTGTACTTTGGTTTTATTCCAGAACTTGAGTGTTGTGTGAACATCCTATCTGCAGAATTACCTTATTTGTGTGCAGATTGTTGGTTCGTCGCTTCTCAGGTAGATGCACTATGACTTAAAGTGAATGCCCCCACCCCCTCCCAATCAGTCACCTTTTACAACATACTTGTTAGGAGGTAGTGGGTCTATTCATTTTCTCCTAAAACAGAACGCCAAATCCATGTGTGAAAATCAGCACTGATAAATATTAATATAATCATTATCATGATACAAAAATAATTCATTTGCCGCTTTTATACAAATACAATTATTCTTTTAACCATTCAACCATCTAATAGAACACACAGCCAACAACCAGCAAGTCATCAAACTGAACATCCAACCTCCCGTCCAACTACTCACTCTAACACCCACTCACTCAAACAACTACTCACCCTAGCAAGCAACTAATCAATCATGCAACAACTCATCCAATCAATCAACCATCCAACAGACCATCTAAGTAGACACATCACCAACCAATCAACCATCCAACTGACCACCCAGTCAGAGACATGACCAACCAATCAACCATTCAACTGACCATCCAAGCAGATGCATGACCAACCAATCAACCATCCAACTGACCACCCAAGCAGATGCAGGACCAACCAATTAACCATTCATTTGATCACCAAAGCAGGCACATAATCAATCAATCAACCATCCAACTGACCACTCAGGCAGATACACGAACAACCAATCAACCATTCAACTGACCACCCAAGCAGATGCAGGACCAACCAATTAACCATTCATTTGATCACCCAAGCAAACATAATCAACCAATCAAACCCAGTCAGACACATAACCAACCAATCAATCAACCAGCTGACCAAACAGGTAAACACATGATCAACCAACCAGCCACCCAGTTCATCTTCTTCTGAATTAATCTGGGTAAAGTTTAAACATCACAGCAATCAGAACAAGCTCCTATTTGCTCTACCTTCATCCTCAACAGACAGCGAAGTGTCTCCATACTGATGGCACCCGTTGTCATCTGGTTAACTACTCTGCCTTCCTTCTGAATCTCAAGTGGCGCCCAGAGTCCACAGCCACTTCTTGCTGTATCATTCTCTCCAGGTACAGATTTTCAATATCTTCAATTCCACCTGTTACCCTGTCCCACAGGTTTGAGATCACCTCTGCCTTGTACAGTTACAGTACAAGCCCCAAATGACACAATTTCAGCCAGCCTATTTGCCTGCTCATTCCCAAACACACCTGAATAGCCCGGGCAAAATATTCATGTGACTCTCACTATATTCAAAGAAAGCCTGACTCCACCTTTCTGAGCATGCTTTGCGAATCTTTTTTTTTCACCCATTCTCTTGCTGGATGTTGTGAGCTTTCTACAGTCATCCTTCACCCCCAACCACCCAATTAGACACATGATCAATCAACCATCCAACACAATCTTACCTCAATCATCACCTGGCGACAGGCACCACATGGATATGTAAAGCTGTCCTTCACCTCGCTGCAAAAGTGAAACATCCACAGTTAGTGAGATTCTGTCTATCAAAAGACTTCCCACTCTCAGTCACAGAATCTGTCCTCTTTCACCCACTCATCACAAATGTTTTTCCTTTTTTTAACCCGCTCATTCAGATTTATTTATTTTTTTGTTTGTTGACCCACTCATTTACAGATTTGATTCCTCTACTACTCTGCGATGTAGAGGTACCTTACACTCTTGTTTAGGTTTACCTTTGCCCTCGGATGTAGAGGTGTCTTACAGTCTTGTTTAGTCTTTCCTTTACTAGTCTGGGTTGTTGAGGCACCTGACAATCTTGTTTGTTGTCTTCTACCCTGGGATGTAGAGGCACTTTACAGTCTTGTTTACAGTCTTGTTTAGTTTGTCATCTTCTACCCTGGGATTTAGAAGCAATTTAGTCTTGTTTGGTTTGTCATCTTCTACCCTGGGATTTAGAAGCAATTTAGTCTTGTTTGGTTTGTCATCTTCTACCATGGGATGAAGAGGCACTTTACAGTCTTGTTTAGTTTGTAGTCTTCTACCCTGGGATTTGAAGGTACCTTACAGTCTTGTTTAGTTTGTAGTCTTCTACCCTGGGATGTGAAGGTACCTTACAGTCTTGTTTAGTTTGCAGTCTTCTACCCTGGGATGTGAAGGTACCTTACAGTCTTGTTTAGTTTGTAGTCTTCTACCCTGGGATGTGAAGGTACCTTACAGTCTTGTTTAGTTTGTAGTCTTCTACCCTGGGATGTGAAGGTACCTTACAGTCTTGTTTAGTTTGTAGTCTTCTACCCTGGGATGTGAAGGTACCTTACAGTCTTGTTTAGTTTGTAGTCTTCTACCTTGGGATGTAGAGGTACTTTCCATATTGTTTGGTTTGTCCTCTTCTACCCTGAGATGTAGGGGTACCTTACAGTCTTGTTTAGTTTGTACTCTTCTACCCTGGGATGTAGAGTACAATATACTTTTGTTTAGTTTATACTCTTCTGCCCTGAGATGTGGAATCTTGTTTAGTCTTCTCTCTTCTGCCCTGGGATGTAGAGGTATCTTACAGTCTTCTGCCCTGAGATGTGAAATCTTGTTTAGTCTTCTCTCTTCTGCCCTGGGATGCAGAGGTATCTTACAGTTTTCTCTCTTCTGCCCTGGGATGTAGAGGTATCTTACAGTCTTCTGCCCTGAGATGTGGAATCTTGTTTAGTCTTCTCTCTTCTGCCCTTGGATGTAGAGGTATCTTACAGTTTTCTCTCTTCTGCCCTGGGATGCAGAGGTATCTTACAGTCTTCTCTCCTCTGCCCTGGGATGTAGAGGTATCTTACAGTCTTCTTTTTTCTGCCCTGGGATGCAGAGGTATCTTACAGTCTTCTGCCCTAGGATGTAGAGCAACCTTACAGTCTTCTTTCTTTTGCCCTGGGATGTAGAGGTCTCTCACAGTCTTCTCTCTTCTGCCCTAAGATGTAGAGGTATCTTACAGTCTTCTTTCTTCTGCCCTGTAATGTAGAGGTTTCTTACAGTCTTCTTTCTTCTGCTTTGGGATGTAGAGGTTTCTTACAGTCTTCTCTCTTCTGCCCTGGGATGTAGAGGTTTCTTACAGTCTTCTCTCTTCTGCCCTGGGATGTAGAGCAGCCTTACAGTCATCTTTAGACTTTCCTCTACTGCCATGGGATGTAGGGATACCTTACAGTGTTGTTTAGTCTGCTGTCTTCTGCCCTGGCATGTAGAGCAACCTTACAGTCTTCTTGAGACTTTCCTCTACTGCCATGGGATGTAGGGATACCTTACAGTGTTGTTTAGTCTGCTGTCTTCTGCCCTGGCATGTAGAGGCACTTTACAGTGTTGTTTAGTCTTCTCTCTTTTGCCCTGGGATGTAGAGCAACCTTACAGTCTTCTTTATTCTTTCAGCCAATTTACAGCCGGTGATCACTATTGAGAGCAATCTTTCTAAACATAATCGTTCCTACCTAGACTCTGATTTTGTTATAGCAAACTGACCTCGGCTAGGTACCCAGATAGGACTATATGTTGCTTTATACTGTCCGGTACCAAAATATACATGTATCTGTGTTAAACGGTAGAACAGGCTTTCTGAGATTTGCAGCTGTTGGATTTTATCCTAACAGTGTCTCTTTGGGTCATTAGATGTCAATCTTTCAGAATGCATTCGTAGAGAGGGAAAATATTGATAATTAATAAACTCTAGGTACTCACCTACTAATTGCTATAGCCTTGAATTTTCTGTGACCTTCAGACACCGCTTTAAAAATGGCGGTTCTTTCCGCACAAGTGGTCAACGAGTAGGATACATTTTCTATATTACATCCTGCAAAAGTAGAGTCATATGTACTGATGGTTAACTGTAAGAAACGGTCCTTTTCTTTTAATTCACCCCCATCTCGTGGTCTCGCAGATTTCGTGGGAAGTTCCCGGGGAATTCCATTAGTAAAGGAGTGTTAGGGTGTTAAAGAAACACCTACTAACACCAACACCCCTCCCCAATCCATAAGACTGGTCTTTCCCGGGAACTCCCCAAGAAATCTCGGAGTTCTTCCGAGTAGAGGTTAATCAAAAGAACAGTACATAAGACACGACGAAAGAGAAGATTCTGCTAAGGGATTTCGTGACCAGTAGTCTTATTGTGGGCCTCCCCGCGTGGGTTATGGGGTTCCATTGAGAGGAAGGAGGGACCCACTGCTAATCTTAAAAAGCAACCAAATGAGGGTTTGTTGAAATCGTGTGTTGGGGGGGGGGGGAGGGGCCGAAAGGCGCAGATATCGCAGCCTACCCGTAAACCGCAACACAAAATGCCCATCATCTCTTTAAGTGAGATAAATAAAAGAAAAAGAAAAAGAAGACTTGTGGGTCACATTTCTCCTGTTCCAGTTCAAGAAATATGTTGGTTATCGTAGTTTCAGTTTTCTTATCTCAATGAAACAAACATTTAAGTACCGTCAACACCAGTGTTCTTCAATCCGGGGGTAGGTAACGAAATAATACCTCATCATTTGACGTCTACATGACACGGGCACTTCATGACTCAGGCAATGCATGACACGAGCATTACATGACGCCGGCAATGCATGACACGAGCACTATATGACGCCGGCACTACATGACCCTGACACTACATGACCCCGACACTACATGACTCCGGCACTGCATGACAGGGCACTACATGACTCTGACACTACATGACCCCGACACTACATGACCCTGACACTAGATGACCCTGACACTACATGACCCTGACACCACATGACTCCGGCACTACATGACCCAGACACTACATGACCCCAATATTACATGACTCTGACACTACATGACCCCGACACTACATGACCCTGACACTACATGACGCTGGCACTACATTACTACGGCAATGCATGACACGGGCACTACATGACGCCGGCACTACATGATCCCGACACTACATGACCCCGACACTACATGACCCTGACACCACATGACTCCGGCACTACATTGCTGACACCTTTCCGTCTTCCCAGACGATGGTGTTATATTGTGCTCTGCCAGTGGTTTTCAGCCTTCCTAACGCCGCATTCGTGTTGTGGTGACCCCCCACCATAACATTATTTTCGTTGCTACTTCATAACTTCGGTGAATATGAAGTTTGAACAACGGATCAACATCATGGCATCCGTTCTTCTTCTAACTCAAGTCTGAGTCCGAAGAAGCTCAGCACAGTGCACAGGCTCTGTAGCACTGGCGAGGATCATGAAATACTTCGGGTAGATTTTTAACATGAAATTTTGCCCAGGCAGCACCGTTAGACTACTTTTTTCGTTTTCCAACTGCCAAGGGATTTTTTTTTACGTGCACAACAATCTCACTACCCAGAGACTAGGGGGAATTACTAGAAGTCCAAGTCCACGTGAAAAAATCCCCCTCCCCCCCCCCCCCCCCCCCCCCCCCCCCCCCCCCCCCCCCACCCACTGGTGATTGAAACCGGAACCTCCAGCACTCGAGGCGGACACCATGCCTCGAGACCACGCAGCCCCCGATGAATAAGTTTTTTTCTCCGATGGTCTTAGGCGACTCCTGAGAAATAGTCGTTCGATTCCAAAGGGGTCGCGACCCACAGGTTGAGAGCCGCTGTACTAGGCGGAGGCTGAGTAACACACAGCCTATGACGATGGCGTGTGCAACTAGCGAGACCCGTCTGCGTATCCTTTACAGGGCGTTGCAGAACCAACCCCAGCATTTATTGGCTGTTGTTGTTGTTTTTCTAGGCAAATTTTACGTGCAGTAGTTTGCTATTGCCTCTGAACGGCACCACTGTCGAAACCAGCGCAAGACCGATCGTTCGCAGCAGGGATCGAACCCGGCACCGGGCATTACGAAGCGCGCTCGCAACGCCTAAGCCACAAACTCCGATGTTAAGAAAAGATAGTAAAGTAAAGATCTTTTTTCACGCCTTAGGCGCATCGGGCATTTGAGAAGAGCACCCATATTTTTTACAGACCAATCGGCACTAGGTGGGTAATGTGGTCAGCATTGCGCTGGCCGTCTTTACTTCCCCAGGACATCCATTCTGGTACCCATTTTAGGCTGGATCGACCTGCGCCATACCTCTGAGCTCTCATACTTTCTGGAATAATTTTTGTTTCTTTTTATTCCCATTCCTTTCCTAATCACCCCACCCCTTTTTTTCCATGCAGCACGGCACTTGGCCTTTTGTTCCCACGAATCTACCCCAATCAATACCAGTATTATTCATGTCTCACTTGAATGCGTCTATATTTACTAGAGAGGCCGACCTCGACACTTCTAACCATCTGTAATTCACCACAGGGGATGTCCTTCTGGACTCTATCATCCTCCATGGGTGAGTTAACCACCCGAGACTCTGGAAAATGAGCACTGAGAAAACTGCTGTGAAAACTGTTGTGCTCATTCCAACAACTCGGTGTTTGTGATCAACACTTGCCATTATAGACCAAATTTTCTGTGCAAGCATCGCATGTGACAGATGTTTTGACACACACGCACACAAATACACACATATATATGTGTATGTGTGCGTGTGTGTTAAAATATATATATATATATATGTGTGTGTGTTTTGTGTGTGTGTGCGTGTATGTGTGTGTTTTGCCTGACAGGCTATGCACGAAACAATTTCCCCTGTACTGTCAGTCCGTGGGTATAAAAAGATTGAAGAACACAGGTCTACACATGAGCTGCTTCTGGAGGTCTTCGTGGCCAAGCCGTTTGCTTTGCGCTCTGAAGGTCGTGGGTTCGTTTGATAGACACACTGTTCAGTTCATAAGTGCAGTTTTTACAGAGTTCCCTGGGAAATCGTCGCTGGGGCTACAGAGTTCGTGCTTTATGCAACACCACTAGCAGGCGGCTAGCCGTTCTGAACAGAGAGATTAGAGAGAGAGAGTGTGTGTGTGTGTGTGTGTGTGTGTGTGTGTATTTGTGTGTCCAGTGCAACAAAGTCAATGTTGTTGACTTCAACCTTTAGACTCTGAACTATAACAGCTGCTTTAGAAAAACAGTACAAAGTGTTGTGCCAGTAGGGAGGGCGACAGCGGGGTGGCACGTACTGCCGGATATTCCTGTCACATTAAATATAACGTGCAAGCGTTTATTACAAATTATTCTGCAAAATAAAATACAGGGTAGCAAAATACAGGGTCATCATCAGGTGCCTTGCCGACTGGCGTGGGCGATCATGCCTCTCCATAATCTGCGATCTCCTGCAGCATGTATCAGTTCGTATGCCGACACACCTCCATGCCATGCAAAAAGACTGTCAAGCATCTTCTCTCGTTGTCTTCCTCTGTCCCTCCTTCCACAGATCTTTCCAGTGGTCACAACATGTTCTATTTTCCCTCTTCTCATAACATGGTTGAAAAATGATGTCTGTGATAAGTTGTCTTCGGGCTCCCGCCTTTTTCAAAACCTCTTGGTTGCTTTTTTTTTGGCTGTCCAAGGTATTCTAAGCATTCTTCTGTAAAACCACATCTCTGAGGCCTCAAGAAATTGTTTGGCCTGCCTACCGATTGTCCAAAATACAGGGTAGTAATGTCATTTTGGTACATTAGTTTCTTAAAAGAAGCAGGGGCGACGGAATCTGGGAGCGTTGTAGTGGTGGTGGTAGTAGCGTGAGTGGTGGTGGTCGTTTTGGTGGTGGTATTATTTGTTGCGTGTCGATTCGGGGATATCAACATTGTTTATGTTAATTCAGTTAGTTCGACGTTAGTCTGACCAGACCCCGCCCATATACATACTAGCTCACTTCTGATTGGTGAGCCCTGTGACCTTCGCACACGGTTACGGTGGTGTACCGCAATACCGCTGGTATCGCGTGTTGTATTTTTCAGCACGCCAGCGCTTTTAACACTCCCAAAGCATGGATAAACTGGGTCTAACACAACCCGCATAGAGAGTGCTGCAACCTATATCACAGGCATTCTCTTTCTCGGAATGAAAACGTAAATGCAAGACATCGCAGAAATCAAACAACAGAGAGGGACACACCCGCACCTATTAGTAGCAGTAATAACAAAAGTAGTGGTAGTATTAGTAGCAGTAATAACAAAAGTAGTGATTATAGTGGTGGTGGTGGTTACAAAAAATAGTGGAAGCAACGGTGGTAGTAGTAGCAGCTGCAGTAGTAACAACAATAATAGTGGTGGTGGAAGCGAGGTCTGTCTGTTGCAGGCAAATAAATAAGACAACAAACGTGGTAAGCGTTAATGTGAACTAGGTTAATTTATTGATTCTCGAAGTAGCTGAAAACAGCACGCGTTATTTTTTTGTATTCTCGTGTACACCTGGCCATTTGGAAATCATGCTATAATCAGTTCGGTGTTTTACCTCTTCTGTAAAACCACATCTCTGAGGCCTCAAGAAATTGTTTGGCCTGCTTACCGATTGTCCAAAATACAGGGTACTAATGTCATTTTGGTACATTAGTTTCTTAAAAGAAGCAGGGGCGACGGAATCTGGGAGCGTTGTAGTGGTGGTGGTAGTAGCGTGAGTGGTGGTGGTCGTTTTGGTGGTGGTATTATTTGTTGCGTGTCGATTCGGGGATATCAACATTGTTTATGTTAATTCAGTTAGTTCGACGTTAGTCTGACCAGACCCCGCCCATATACACACTAGCTCACTTCTGATTGGTGAGCCCTGTGACCTTCGCACACGGTTACGGTGGTGTACCGCAATACCGCTGGTATCGCGTGTTGTATTTTTCAGCACGCCAGCGCTTTTAACACTCCCAAAGCATGGATAAACTGGGTCTAACACAACCCGCATTGAGAGTGCTGCAACCTATATCACAGGCATTCTCTTTCTCGGAATGAAAACGTAAATGCAAGACATCGCAGAAATCAAACAACAGAGCGGGACACACCCGCAACCTTCAGGAAAGTCGACCAGCCCAACAAACTTGTGAATGAAAAGTGACCTACTTTGTTTGTGGAGACAAAAGTCGAGTTAACCGTTAATTCTAGTACAGTCTTGATTGACCAGGGGTGTTGTCACGGCCTGAGTCAATATTTTGATTCTGCGTTGACTTAGGACAGGAGGCGTCAGCGCGGCCTGAGTCAATATTTTGACTCTGTGGTGACCTAATGCCGAAGTTGACAAGTGGACTCACGAGGTGTCAACCGACCTGGGTAAATAGTCATACTTAGTTTGAGGTATGTGGAGAAAAGGTGTAAAACATGCATGAGTGTGGGTGTCTCAACTATCACGGATGCCTCACTGAGAACGCACACATGTATATACTGGAACAGAGGAGAAGAGTCCATTAGTTGAAAAGAGTCGAGCAGAGAGAGCTGTGTGCTCCTCTGTGGGAAAGCTTGTCTTGGGTGACGACGCGTGTGGCGGTCATGTTCACTACTGAGACAAGTGACCCCTCGTAGATGTCGGCTATCGGCTGTATGCTGACAGGACTCGGAGTTGGAGTGCTGTAGGTCATCGTAGAATTATTCGACGTGGCTGATTTGCTGTGTGCATACTGGGAGGGAGGAGAGACAGGGAAAGTATTGTAGAGGTTCCCGGTCAGTCGATGTTAATCAAAGTGCTTGTTACTGAGTATAGCAACTCCCTGTGTAATTTCCGGTGCCCTATTATAGGGAAAACAAGAACAGGCCCACTGCCTAAACATAAGCATGTCGTAAAAGTCGATTAATTGAGAGCTTCCTTCGAAGTCGGAGTGCACCTGCCTGAGAGGCAAGGAACCAACAGTCTGCATACAAATTAGTCAGATCTGTCAATGCACACGCAACACTCAGGTTCTGGAACAGGACTGCAGTCCATAAGTGGACGAACAACCAGAAACTTTCCACTAAATGCGAAGAAGAAGAAGAGTATAGCAAAGGAAGTCAAGCTCAGTAAATTGGATGGAGCCTGTTCACTCTTACTGCTGGCCCTGACGTGAGGGTTAGCCAGCGACCGAGGCACTGACAGCCTGTTTGACAGCAACAGCATGCTGTACAATGGAGCGCCGATAGGACTGTTTTGGAGAATGCGAAGCTTGATGGGGCTAATTCCATGTTTGCCAGCGTATGGATGGACGTACGTGATATTGCTTCATTTACATTCATTGTATGCGGGTTCGGAGACCCGAACGTTCTTGTGAATAAATATACGGCGGGCAACTGTAGTTACGTTTTCCTGACTGTACAAGTGTTGGCGAGTTCGAGCGCAAATCATAACCTAGACCTTGACTATATGTTCGTATGCTGCTACTCATATTCAGCATACAACAGTTATAGTAGTGGCAGTAGGAGTGTTAGCAGTGGCTAAAGTGGTGGTGGTAGTAGTAATTGTGTTGGTAGTAGTGGCGGCGGTTGTAAAAGTAATGATAGCAATGATAGTACTAGTAGTAACAAAAGTAGCTTTAGTAGTGGTGGTAGGGGTGGTAACAACAGTAGTGGTAGCAGTGGTAGTATTAGTAGCAGTAATAACAAAATTAGTGGTAGTATTAGTAGCAGTAACAACAAAAATTGTGGTAGTATTAGTAGCAGTAATAACAAAAGTAGTGGTAGTATTAGTAGCAGGAATAACAAAAGTAGTGATTATAGTGGTGGTGGTGGTGGTTACAAAAAGTAGTGGAAGCAATGGTGGTAGTAGTAGCAGCTGCAGTAGTAACAACAATAATAGTGGTGGTGGAAGTAGTAGTAACAAACGTAGTGACGACAGCAACATTATTAATAGTAGTAGCAGGGGCGCCGTCATAGAAAAAACATGGCAGAACCGGGTGGAGGTTGGCGGGGTTTGGGGGGGGGGGGCGCTAAGCTCACTCTCCCAGTAACTTTTTTGGGGATGGTGGGCTTATGGTGGTGGTGGGTGGGGTGCTTAGGTCTATTTTAATTGTGCAATATTAATAAAAAATAATGATTTCTTAACTAGACGGCTCCTGGACAGCTTAACCCATTTACAAATTTAATTTCCGGGGGGGGGGGGGGGGAGGGTAGCTAAGGCAACCACCCCTTAACAATTTTTAGAAGCGAGAGCTAAAGAAGCCTGAGTACCCCGGTTCTAGGGCCGTTGAGTGGTAACAGTAGTTACAGTATCAGTAGCAATTGCAGAAGTAGTTATAGCAGCAGAAGTAATTGTAGTAGCAGCAGGTGCAGCAGCAGTAGTAGTAAGTAGTAGCAGATGCATTTGTAGAGCAGCAGTAGTAGTAGCAGATGTATTTGTAGAGCAGCAGTAGTAGTAGTAAGTAGTAGTAGTAAGTAGTAGTAGAGGCATCACAACGACTACCAGCATTAAGTAGTAAAAGTAGCAAGAGTATAGTAGATGTTATATTAGCAACCCCCACCTGTAAATATACTCCCATCCTCCGCCAGCAAAGCGGCTCCGACCCTGAAATTGCTGTACTCACAGTAGGCATACTTCATGGCCTCCTTGCTGCTGGAGATGAGCTTCTGGATGTCCTCCTCGGTCAACGTGTTCAAACTGCTGTCCCCGTCGTCGACATCATTGAGCGTCTCTTTGAGATCGTCTGCGTCCTGTGACATTTTGATTTTCTTACTTTCCTGTATGGAATTGTGTAACAAGAATATTAATTGGGAGGGAAGGGGGAGTAAAGATCCCTTCTCGCGCCTTCGCATCGGGTAAATGGGAAGAGCGCCCATATTTGTTCAGACCATCGGCACTAGGTGGGTAATGTTGTCAGCATTACGCCCGCCGTCTTTACTTCCCCAGGACACCCATCCTGGTACCCATTTTAGGCTGGGTCGACCTGCGACGCCCCATACCATGATAAAACTCCACGCAGCCAGCAGTGGGTTTCGATCGCGGTAAGTGGAATTACGAGTCGGACTTGCAACGCCTAAGCCACGGACGCCGCTGGGGGGGGGGGGGGGGGGGGCGAGGGCGAGAGAATCCACATAAACTAAAATCTCACTAAATTTCGTCTTCTTGGCGCTCACCGGCTGTAAACTCCGAAGGAATGTTATGGTTGTTCATCCACTTGTGGACTTAAGACTTATTCTAGTACCTGAGTTATGCATTTCTTTTTCTGCCCTGACGCCGCGAAGAATTCCAGGAGTAGAGAAACGAAGAAGAAGTAGATCCATTTTGCAGATCTGATTTATTTGTACCTAGCCTGCTGCTTCACCATCTCTCAGACTATCGGGAAACACATAGTCACTGAAGAAGCAATGAAAATAATGTTATTGTTTTAGGTCACCACAACATGAAGAACTGTATCAAAGGGTCGCGGCATTAGGAAGGCTGAGAAAACCACTGTGTTGGGAGGTTGTCAAACTGTTTTTGTGGGAGGCTGTCAAACTGTTTTTGTAGGAGGCTATCAAACTATTTTTGTTACTGTTGGGAGACTGTAACACTTTTTAAAAATTATCTTGTCTAGTGTGTCTTGTTATCTTTCTACTAGCGGCTGAAACAGGGGACGGGGGCAGGGCCGTGCTGTGCTATGATTCACAGTGGCGACAGCATCAAGTAGCACTGTAAGGGGCGGCATAGGCAGCGAAATGAAAATACAAATTGAACATTTAAGGGGCGGCATTTCGAAGACTTGCATCATATTGAGAAAATCTACCGCGCGGCACTAGCGGGAAAAAAAGGAATGGGGGTGGGAGAGGGTTTGACGGCCTCTCCCATGATGTTTCAGTGTGGATGCACAAACGGCATAAATGACGACAAAGTCATTATCATTCTTGGCCAGATTTATCTAGCCGTGACAATGAAATGGCGAGAGTTATGATAACAGCCACGAACTCTGTAGACCGTGGTACTGAATACACCGAAACTGTCATTTGTTGTGGTTTCGCTGGGAAGCTCTCAGGGTGTTCCCCTGTCATACTGGTTATCTCGCCCACAAAGTGCTGATTGGTTCAGAATATCGCACTAGCACCATAGGTTCAAATCCGCATACAGGCGGATCCACCCCCCCCCCCCCACCTTTTCCAGGTAACCTTATCCTAAAATGGGTTCTAGACTCTTCTAAGCTGTCCAAGGAATTGTAAGGATTCTACTGTAAAACCACATCTCCGAGGCTTCAATATATTGTTCGGCTTGTTTAATACTTGTCCAGGATTCACAGCCGTATGTTAATACTGGCTCTATATAGCCTGTGAGAATTCTTGTCCTAGTTTCCACGTACATGGAATTATTTCGTAACATGTTTTTCGATTTATAAAATTCATGTTTTGGCCTGTCCTGTTCTGTTCTTTATCTATGTGAGATATCTTCCATCGGATGTCTTCTTCTTTACGTTCTCTTTTACCACTTCGGGTGTCGAGGGAGATATAAGGTCCTGCTTCGTGCTTTTCTGGCTGCTTCGACCATAGATAACAAATCGTGGTGCTGTAGAGTTTCTCTGATGTTATCTTCCCATTTGTTCTTGGTCTACCTCTTGATCTACGTCTCTCTCCTCTTTTGGTAAATGCCTTGTATGGTTTAGCATCAGAAGGCATTCTCTCCAAGCGGACAAACAATTTGATTTGCTGTCTCCGTATGTAATTTAGAATTAGTTCTGTGCCGACTTTATCTCGTATGATCTCCAAATTTTATCTCGTCTGGTCACTCCTACAGTCTTTCTCAGACACCTCATTTCCATAGTTGCTAATTTTCTTTATGTTATGTAGTGAGTGACCACGTTTGGCACTGACAGCATAGGGTGGGAATGAATATGCTGTGTACAAGATGTGCCTTTATGCTGACTGTAATTGCCTAATGCTGTAAGAGTCTGTAATTACTTTTTTAAAAAAAAGCCCTGGACTTTTATTATACAGTTAGGCACTATTGTTTTCTTGGAAATCACCCTTATTCTGTCTTCCCATTATTCAAACTAAGGTCCAGTTTATCACTTTCTACCATCACCACATCTTATCAATTTATGTAGTTCTTTCTGATTTGTCACTATTAAGACGGTGTCATCAGCATAACGTAGGTTGTTTATGTTATGACAACTACTCCCTCTTCCTCCCCATATTTAGACTGAAAATATGCAGTTCCGTTGCCCAGTTACTGAGCTGAGTGCATGGCGCGACAAGGTGAGCTGCAAATTTAATTTGGAATGCTTTACGACTGTGCTCAACATGGTTTGTTGTGAACTGCTGAGCTGAAGGTTCAGAAACTGCGAACTTGCATTGCATTTTTTGATTGACTACTGAAATCTTGTTACTGCCACTTTTATCGACGATAAAATCATTTCTAGTGTCGGACTGTTTGGGTTGGCATTTCCGACTGCTGCCTTATGCATTTAATGTGCCTCAGTGTTGCTGGATTTGCTTAGCCTGCAGTCGGTGTCATTTTTTCCCCCTTACGGGACAGTGATGGAAATTTTGAGTTGTTTTCGCTGGCATAGGACCGCAGCAACCATGGGGTGGTCCGTTTGCTCAGAAGACAGAACCGCGATTTTCTGATGATGCATCTGCCAACACTGAACCATGAAAATGTATCAAGAAAAAAAAATATGTGGCTACAAAAGACAAGCAAGCGATGACTGACGCAGAAACCGAGACGATCAGAAGTGAATTTCCGTTTACCATCACAGACACACGGAAGGGAATTCACATGGACACTTGTTCGCGTGTGTACAGAGAAAAGGAAAAACGTTACCATCCAACACTGGACGTCTACATAGGTCCCGTAATCTGTGAGCACAGGCCTCTTTCATTTGTAGGGAGCCGCACTAATAATGGTTTAAAAAAAAAAGTTATTCGAAGCCAGAGTATACCTATATCTACATGAGAGACGAGGAACCAACAGTCTCCAAACAAAGAGGTCAGATCTGTAAAACGGATGTACACTAAAAGTGTAAGCTTCCACCAGAGTTTAGGCCTGAAAATGCGAAGAATAAGGAGGTGGAGAAGAAGAAGAAGAAGAAGTAGAAGAAAAAGATGACGATATAAATTTAAAAAAAGACGAAAGAAATAACTAAGTTAGAGGTAAAACACCGAACTGATTATAGCACGATTTCCAAATGGCCAGCTGTACACAAGAATACAAAAAATAACGCGTGCTGTTTTCAGCTACATCGACAACCAATAAATTAACCTAGTTCACACTGGCCACATTAACGCTTACCATGTTTGTTGTCTTATTTCTTTGCCTGCAACAGACAGGCCTCGCTGTGTGAAGGAAAAGACGCTATAACCACACAACGGTCGAAGCAGGTTGCAACACAGACAGATAACACTTGAACTAGAACGTGTCTTCCTCACGTGATCGCTTGCAGGATATAAATAGACCATGTCAGCTGAGCAGGTCAGGGAAACAAAAATGGCCTACTTGTTGGTGCTGGTCAAAGAGAATTTCAATTAGTTCTATACAACTTGACCCATCATACTTTGGAAAGTGGTTTTCAAAGTGAAAGTGACCTGACTGTGCCTTTCTGTGTGTTCTTGGAAAAAATCCTGGCATTAATGGCAACAGTAGCAGGCGCGCCGCTACGAAATTAATATTCGGGTGGGGGCGTCAGCAAATAATTTGGTGAGATATTTAATCTCAGGCCCTTGAGGCCCCTCCCCCCCCCCCCCCCATTTTTTTTTTACCCAGAAAAAAATATTTTTAAGGATTAAAAGGCGTGGGGCTGAGTGCCCCTTACCACTTAGTAAAGTTGTAAGGTGGTTAGGATGCATTTATGGAAGTTATCTTTGGAGCTTTGAGGCACATGAGTGTCAAGTTTCAATCACCTATGTGAACAACACAGTTTCCGCCTTCAACTCCGACAGTTTTCCAACCCTAAACTGGCTTTGTTATTTTAAGCCATGAAATTCTACAATGACACATACGCTCTAACATGAAGCACTGTCTTACTATTATTCTTATGGCAAACGATGGCTCAGACAATAGGCTGGGTTTTCTGAATATTTTGTCTGAAGTCATATGAAATCGCTGCATTAATGTTTAATCAGCAAGATGCTAGCTTACTGTTTTCCTAAGATCCAGAGTGGGTGTTAGTTTTATATTTAGCCGGGCTGACCCCTAGAGGACAACGCCGCGAACCACCAACTTGACAGTAACCTTCTCGGTGTGGTGAAGGGTCAATCCTCGTGTTACACGACATGACAGTAGTAGCTATAGTAGTAGTGGTGTTGGTAGTAGCGGTGGTGTTGGTAGAGGCGGTGGTGTTGGTAGTAGCGGTGGTGTTGGTAGAGGCGGTGGTGTTGGTAGAGGCGGTGGTGTTGGTAGAGGCGGTGGTGTTGGTAGAGGCGGTGGTGTTGGTAGAGGCGGTGGTGTTGGTAGAGGCGGTAGTGTTGGTAGTAGCGGTGGTGTTGGTAGTAGCGGTGGTGTTGGTAGTAGCGGTGGTGTTGGTAGTAGTGGTGGTGTTGGTAGTAGTGGTGGTGTTGGTAGTAGTGGTGGTGTTGGTAGTAGCGGTGGTGTTGGTAGTAGCGGTGGTGTTGGTAGTAGTGGTGGTGTTGGTAGTAGCGGTGGTGTTTTTAGTAGCGTTGGTGTTGTAAGTAGCGGTGGTGTTTTTAGTAGTGGTGGTGTTGGTAGTAGCGGGGGTGTTGTAAGTAGCGGTGGTGTTGGTAGAGGCGGTGGTGTTGGTAGTAGCGTTGGTGTTGGTAGTAGCGGTGGTGTTGGTAGTAGCGGGGGTGTTGTAAGTAGCGGTTGTGTTGGTAGTAGCAGTGGTGTTGTAAGTAGCGGTGGTGTTGTAAGTAGCGGTGGTGTTGGTAGTAGCAGTGGTGTTGTAAGTAGCGGTGGTGTTGTAAGTAGCGGGGGTGTTGTAAGTAGCGGTGGTGTTGTAAGTAGCGGGGGTGTTGTAAGTAGCGGGGGTGTTGTAAGTAGCGGGGGTGTTGTAAGTAGCGGGGGTGTTGTAAGTAGCGGGGGTGTTGTAAGTAGCGGGGGGGTGTTGTAAGTAGCGGGGCTGTTGTAAGTAGCGGTGGTGTTGTAAGTAGCGGGGGTGTTGTAAGTAGCGGGGGTGTTGTAAGTAGCGGTGGTGTTGTAAGTAGCGGGGGTGTTGTAAGTAGCGGGGGTGTTGTAAGTAGCGGGGGTGTTGTAAGTAGCGGTGGTGTTGGTAGTAGCGGGGCTGTTGTAAGTAGCGGTGGTGTTGTAAGTAGCGGGGGTGTTGTAAGTAGCGGGGGTGTTGTAAGTAGCGGTGGTGTTGGTAGTAGCGGTGGTGTTGGTAGTAGTCGTGGTGTTGAATAGGATGACTTTTAACTTGTACATCTACATGGTTAGAGCATGTTTCTGTTATTGACAATAATTTTTAAAGGCGTGGTCAAGTGGTCTTCTCTGATGGTGTGTACCATTGTTTGTGTATTCCATGAGCAGTTTGTCCTCAGAACCGGATTTGACACTCTTGTGTGGGCTTTTGAAGAAATTGAGAAACTATAAAGTAAATGGAAAAATGTACAATTGGATTAAAGCATATCTACATAACAGAAGAGTCCGGGTACAAGTAGATGGTTTTGAAAGTAAAAAAGTTCTACTGCGACAAGTCGTCCCTCAAGGTGGTGTCCTGTCGCGCACACTTTTTCTTTTATTCATCAACGACCTGGTTGCTGAAATACCAAATGGAATCAAAATGGCAATGTATGCCGACGACCTGGTACTATGGTGCACCGATGAACATGCAACGATAGCCACAAGAACACTACAGCGGGCTAAGTGGAACCACATGGGGAGCCGATGGGAAAATACTCAATAAAGTATACAAGCAGAGCATACTTCCACACTTGGAATATGGGTCAACTGCATGGTGTTCAGCATCTAGTACCACATTAAAAGAGTTGGACAAAGTGCAAAACCAAGCACTCAGAGTCATCACAGGAGGGATGAAATCAAACCCCATATTAGAAATGGAGAAAGCTGGGAAAAGACAGGCACTGAGAGAACGCAGAGATAGAAAGTTGCAAATACAAGCTGAAACAAAAAGAATATGTAGACACACTGCTGACCTTCCAGAAATTGGTTGTCCACTTAACAGTATTCCAGAACAAACCCCACGGAGAGAGAAATGCAAACCAACAGTACAAATACAGACAAATGTGAAAGGAATATTTGACAAGAAAGAACAACGCAGAATGGCCACCCTCAGTTATATTGATGAAGAATACCCCCAAGAACAATGGGTCAGAGTCTATACAGATGGGTCCGCAAAAAGTGCAGTTAGAAATGGTGGTGCTGGAGTGTACATAGAAAACCCAGATGGTACTAGGGATAAGTCCAGCGTACCAACCGGAAAGTACTGCCATAACTATGATGCAGAAACTCAGGCTATCAAGTTAGCAACAGAGAAACTGCTGAATACCAATCTTGGCTCCCAGTATGTGGTAATGCTGACAGATGCAAAATCAGTACTTGAAGCACTCCAGTCTAGGAAACTACCAGAATTGTAAACACTGCTGACACAACTTAGCCTTCAGCAAAGAGTTGTAATGCAATGGATACCATCATATTGCGAGTGCCTGGAAATGAGAAAGCAGATCAACTGGCAGGAGAAGGTGCGACAAAAGTGCAGCCGGATGTACCAGTCACATACCACCAAAAGAAAAGAATCGTTAAATCAATCAGGAAACCACCAGCCACAGCACAAGACGACTTTTGTTGTTGTTGTTGTTGGACAGATCAGAACAAGTCATTATCCTCCGTCTCAGAACAGAGCATACCGATTACGTAACCATATGTATACAAAATTCAAGAAAGGAGTATCAGCCATGTGCACCTGTGGAAAGGTGCCTCAGACAGCAGAGCATGTACTCCAGGACTGCACTGAATTTGACACATTAAGGCAAACCTTTTGGCCAGAAAGAACAACAGTGGAACGTAAACTCTATGGACCACTGAATGAATTAACAACAACAGTGAAATTTATACAAGAGACAAAACTGCTGATATAGACAACTTATTTCAGGCGAACAAAAGAAGAAGAAGATCAATGAATTGTAATACCTGGCTTCAGTCTTAGTCTTGGAATTTTGTAATTTTCAATGGTTCTCTTTTCTTCTTACTTTGGCAACCCTTCTAATATTGCACCCTCTACCACTTCGTATTCTTCAGAGACCTGATCTGGGACTGACAACGTGGGTCTATGAAGCTACAATCCTGGACCAATAAGAAGGAAAACACCATTACACGAGCATCGAAGAGAACTGGCTCACAAACAGCATCCTGTCTCGGTATTTGCACCTTGTTAAATGTCACGTGGTCTGGAGGGAACGGTGATGGAGAGAACAGTTTCCGGAAAACGAGGCAGAGAGCGATCCCCGTGATGATTAACACAAGATACTGAAGATTTCATTGGTTATGACAGAACATTGTTAAACTGGCTATAGAAAAATGGACTTTAGGGCGTACCGTAACGAGAGCGACGTTCTGCAAAAGGCCTGCTGGATGTTGATAATGATATGGCATTACTTATTGTTAAACCTGTCTAGACAAGAACACACATAGAATCCTGGTTATATTTTTCCCTATCCATCTGACCGAGCTCCCCTTTCCCTCTGCAATTTCAGCATGAAGAGATAACACCCACCTGCTCCAAGAGAAACCTTTCGAATGAAAATCCAGCAGGAGAAAATCCCGTATACCCCATTCAACTTTATAACAGTAATATTGGAGTACCCTTATCACCAGGAAGCAGGTCTTTCACAGAACGCGTGAAAGAAAAGTCCCTCGCCAGTTCTCCCGCCTCATGCACTCTCCTGCCTCATGCACTATCCTGCCTCAAGCACTCTCCCACATCAAGCACTCTCCCGCCTCATGCACTTTCCGGACTCATGCACTATCCTGCCTCAAGCACTCTCCCGCATCAAGCACTTTCCCGTCTCATGCACTATCCTGCCTCAAGCACTCTCCCACATCAAGCACTTTCCCGCCTCATGCACTATCCTGCCTCAAGCACTCTCCCACATCAAGCACCTTCCCGCCTCATGCATTCTCTTGCCTCATGCACTATCCTGCCTCAGGCACTCTCTTGCCTCGTGCATTCTCCTGCCTCTTGCACCATCCTGCCTCATGCACTCCTATGCCTCAAGCACACCACAGCCTTATGCACTCTCCGGCCTCATGCACTCTCCTGCCTCGTGCACCATCCTGCCTCATGCAATCTCCTGCCTCAAGCACACTGCAGCCTCATGCACTCT